GGGATCGCTGCTCCAAAGAGCTCTCCTGGCTCTGGAGGAGCTGCTGGACCCTCCTGGAATGATTTAGGATCCTGTCCAAGGCCCCACCTGGAATGTCCCACACGGAGCACAGCGCCCTGCCCCCGCTCCCAGCAGCATTTGGGGTGTCCCTGACCCCGCTGCTGCCCCAACCCCCGTGAGCCCGAGGGGCTCCCCCATCCGAAAGATGGGCCCGGGGGTTTTTGGGGTGTCAGTGCGGGGCGCTGACGCGGGGACAGCGGCAGCACGAAGGTTTGGGGCTGCAGTCGGGGGCACAGCAGGGCTGCAGCGTCGCGTCCCGGCCTTTGCGGATCTGGCTCTCGCCGAACTCCACSCGCTGCTCCAGCAGCACCTTCTGCAGGGTGATGTCCCGCAGCACCTGCAGCACCTCCGGGCCCGGCCGGCCCTGCAGCAGRTCGTAATTCTCCGCCGGATCCGCCTCCAGGTCAAAAAGCAGCGGTGGCAAATGCGGGGTGAGCGGGGTGAGCCCGCGGCACGCCTGGTCCGGGGTGGTGTCGCTGTGGAAGGAACCTGCAAACCAACCCTGGCTGAGCGCGGCTCCGTACCCCGGAGCTCCGAGAACCTCCCGGAGCTCCCCGAGAGCCCGGGGTGGGGAAAGCACCGGGCACCGACCTTGGGTGAAGTAATGCGCTTTGTATTTGCCGAGGCGGACGGCGAAGGGGCCGTGCAGAGGGTCGGGGGCCGGCGGGTAGAAGAACACGGCCTGGCGGGGGCTCTGCGGGGTGGAGGGGCTCAGCTCAGCCGAGCGGGGTCCTCGGGCTGCGGGAACGGGCTTAGAGATCCCCGGAGACCCCGGGATAAGGCTGGAGAGGGCTGAGGGAGCTGAGGGACAGCAGCGAACCGGGGGCGGCTCCCTGCGGCTGGGGCGGGGCTGATGGGACACACCGAGAATGGGAAAGGACACACCGGGAATGGGCCAGGACACACCGGGAACGGGAAAGGGCACACCGGGAAAGGGCCAGGACACATCCGGAACGGGCAAAGGAACACCGGGAACGGGCCGGGACACATTGGGAACGGGCCAGGACACACCGGGAATGGGCCAGAACACACCGGGAACGGGCCGGGACACATTGGGAACGGGCCAGGACACACCGGGAATGGGCCAGGGCTGTGCTCTCCCCGGAATGAGCCAGGGCACACCGGGAACGGGCCAGGACACACCGGGAATGGGCCAGAACACACCGGGAACGGGCAAAGGAACACCGGGAACGGGCCGGGACACACTGGGAACGGGCCAGGACACACCGGGAACGGGCGAGGACACACTGGGAACGGGCCAGGACACACCAGGCATGAGCAAGGACACACCGGGAATGGGACAGGACACACCGGGAATGGGACAGGACACACGGGGAACGGGCCAGGGCACACCGGGAACGGGAAAGGGCACACAGGGAATGGGCCAGGACACACCGGGAACGGCCCAGGGCACACCGGGAACGGGAAAGGGCACACCGGGAATGGGCCGGGACATACTGGGAACGGGCCAGGGCACACCGGGAACGGGCAAAGGCACACCGGGAACGGGCCGGGACACACCGGGGACGGGCCAGGGCACACGGAGCTCCCAACACTGGTTCTGCCCCGATCCCAGCCGGTTTTTCCCTGATCTCAGCCCCTGGATCTGCCCCGATCCCAGGTCTGGATCTG